CGAAGGAACAGACTCTCTCTCTGCTAGAAGAACGATCTGTCTTTATTACAAAAAGGAAGCTCGCTTTTAAGGATCCTGCATCCAATCAGGAACGGACAAAAAGAAAGAAATGCAGTATCGCGCCGCACCAACTAATCTTATCGGAAGCGAAGCGTAGGCATAGCACCGCAATTGTTACAGCGCCCCCGGAGACCGTCCCCGAGCCCTTCCGGGGCAATAGTCTGGAGGACCGGCACCCACACGAGCCCGCGGCTGTATACAACGAGGCGGAGCGCGGCCTGCTGTGCCCCGTCTGCGGAGTGCCGGAACTGCACCGCCCCACCCACCTGGCGGGCGCCTTGCACCAAGCCCGCGTCGCCGCGGACTGGGCTCGCCGAGCCGCGCCACCTCCTGCTGCACCTCCGGCAGCCCCCCGCCCGTTGGAAGTCGCAGAGGCCATCCGGGTGCTCCGCCAACTCCGCCCGGATCTGCTCCGCGACCCGGCCCACGAGGAGGCCATCTTAGACCTCGACCTCTAAGGGGGAAAGGTGTGGGGCGCTCGGCCCGCCACACGGCGGCCAAACCGGCGACTAGCAGAGGGGGGGGGGGGGGGGGGGGGGGGCGGCTCCCGGTGCCCACGGCATACCCACGGGCTTAAAAGGGGTGGCCTGTGCGGCCGACGGCAGTTGCTGCCCCGAGTCTTGGCCAGGTCGGGATCCCCGAGTCATGGTAATAAACCCCGCTTGACCCCACGGAACGAGTCGTCTGATTGATCACCTGCGGCGGACGGCGGAAGTCGAACGCTACACTTCTTGGGTTTTCAGCATGCTTGTTTTTATTTTCACGAAAATGGACACACAAAAAAAGCAGTTGCAGTTCTTGCATTTACAAAGAATGCAGAGTTTCTAAAAAAAAAGCGAAAAAGAAACGACACATATAGTTTTCGTTTGTGGGAGCTGGTTCGCGTGATGGTCAGACTAGAAGGTCATGTCATCTAAATATTGCTGGGTTCGTGTTGCTGTGACCAGAAATAGGCTTCCCGAGACATGGCTTTTGTCCCCTTTGAAGATTATCTTGCCCTGAAATTTACAAAACGAAGACAGTGTCGTGTTGGGCACCGGCGCGAGCCAACGACGCTAGACAGAGGCACGCTCAGATCGCAGAGACCAACCAAAAAGCCTCCCTTCCTTTATTCGTCTGCCTTCAATATATCTACCTGGGGGCCTGACAGCAGGCCGCGATCTTTCTCGAACATGACATCATTATTAGTCGTTCCGATCAGGCCTCGTACTCTGACTTCGGCGCATCCGCCCGCTGGCGGACACGAAACACCGTGAGACTTGAGGCGGCTGCATCCTGTCGGTAGCACCTTACACAGCCCACAGGAATACTTTATAGCAAGGCAATCTGATATCAGGCGCATTCAGAATCAACCGCAAACGCAGTAAGTATTTCGGGAAAACGCGAACCCACAACACAGACAGACCCAAAGTCATTCCCTTCGGTTCGGAGGGCATGTTGGTTCGCCTTATCTCTCTTGTGTTTTGCCCACTGGCTGGGTGTAGGGTTGACGGCTGTTGCTTTGGATTTGCAAATACAGAGTACGTTGCTTCTTTTTGTTTAGCTTCCCAATGTCAGTCGGTTCCGGTTGTGGGTCTGGGTCGGGAAAAAGGGTTGTATACGTACGGTCTAGGCGTTCGCCTGGCTGGTTGAAGCGTTGACGGTGGTAGGTTGTCTGTTGGGGTATCGCAGTAAAACAATGACTCTATGTAGAAATTTATTTTGCAGCTCTGTTTTGAGAGGGTGTTGTGCTGTCCGGTTTTTGTCCCGCGTCTCTGCTGCCTTTAGAAATAAGGGCTTTAAACTGCGAAAAATTATCGCGTCCCGATCTAGAAACAAACTTTGATTTCAAGTCTAGGAATGGCGATAACATCGCGGTGGCCTCTAGACTCTGGCCTTCTAATTCAAAAACGCCTTCCGCCAATGTCGAGGCAACGTCAGATCTTCGAAAACCTTTGTAGGTAAGTTCTTTCATTGTTTATAGAACTGACGGAATTTCGCTTAGCAAGTGCTTTTTCCCTATCGTATAAACACACTATTCATGTTCCATAAGTCAACACAGAAACATTCACGCTGTCAAAAATCTGGTGGAATCGAATATTTGTACCGCGCTGGTCGCGCTATAAATGTTCAATCTCGTGCCTGCTGTTTCTTCACAGTACGAACACCTCACGTTCATTTGCCATGAATAATTTGTGTTGCCGTTTTGTTTTAGAAGAGACATCAAGGTGCCTTTAACGAGTACGAGGGCCGGAGGGAAAAGAGGAATATGGACAACGGTTCATCCACTGACTCTCCAAATGCGAAACAGCCAAAGCTTGACGGCTACGTGAGAAAAGACAAATCCGCTTCTAAGCAAAATATTGATCTGGCGATCACGAAGGTTGTATCGGGCTCGTTCTAGTGTTTCTTACTCGTGGAGCATGAGGACTTTGTTGGATTTATAAACACATTGCAGCCAGGCGTCAAAATACTTTCCCGCAAGGCAGTGGCAGACAGGATCGGTGTTATGTACATAAGTATGAAGACAAAACCATGATCTCTTCTGCTAGACGTCAGCACTACGTGGTGCACTGCAGATTGTTGGACTTCGTTTAGCCGGTAGGCCCTTCTGCTCTAATTCGTCATTTCGTCGACTGGCTTGATGGGATCAGCGTGTTACTTATTTGATGAGGCATATTTATTTCAGAAGTTTTCTTGGCCTAACAGCCCACTGGATAGAATATGGGTGCAGAGACGATCTGCGGTGTTGGCATGCATGCGCCTGACCGGTCATCACACGAACGACTTGCTTGCAGCGGCAATACGCGCTGTCTTCACAGACTACCCATTCTCAACAAAGTGTCGGTCACAGACAATACGACTAACTTCGGGAAGGCATTCAGGTACGGGATTTGCCTAATTGTGCTACTGCGGAAATTCGGGCTGGATTGCACATAACATGTCGATTTTTTGCAGTATATTTAGACAAGCCGAAGCCCACGAAGATGACGACGTAGATATGGTGAACCTGGGCCTGACTCTGCAAACGCGTCTGGAATCGGACGCCTGTCTTGAAGGAAGTGAAGCACGCCTTCCAAAGTATGACCGCTGTGCTGCCCGCACTCTCAACCATGGTGGCCACAGTCGACGCAGATTATACTCTCGAAGACGTACAATACAAACGCGACTGCACGAGCGTCATCGTAAAATGCAAAGCGTTGTGGAACAAATAGCATCACTCCAGCATCTCCTTAATATAGTGAAAAGCCACCTTGGACGGTTTCTCCTTGTACCGTATTCGACACGATGGAATTGCATCTACCGAGAATTGGAGCAAATTCGAGGACTAGGAAGCGGCATCAACACGCTTCTAGATGACCTGAACCTTCCAAGGATCGCCGTTGAAGACTTGGCCTTTGTTTAAGAGTTCACGTCGGTAAGTCAAATTTGATATATTAATATCATCGTATAGGCTGGCTACTACTCTTGTTGCCCATTTCCTTCATTGAGTGTGTTTAGTTCTTGGGTAATTTACTGCGTTTCCATGATATGTTTTAGATTTTGAAACCAGTGGTACAGTCCCTGGACATTCTGCAGAGTATACGTAAATGGGCGTTCTGCTCCCGACGCTAAGGTCGCTGCAACGTGCTCTACATAAGAGGTGGGAGCTGCAGTTCTGCACGGCCCTTCTTGATAGTCTAAAAACCGGTGTTGCAATAAGGTACCTTCAGAACTATGTTTCCTTTTATCTACAATGTGACTGATCCCTTCGCTTGTATCTCGAAGTGACTGTACTGAATATGCTGCCTGTTTTTGTACACGCTCAGAATGGTATAATTCTAAAACCGAAATGAATCGCGTGTGCATTGAGTGGCCTACTAACGTCGTGGTGAGTAGATGCACATCATTTGCTGAATGCCAGCGAGAGCAATCACCTCGTGTGTGTGTCTTCCACGGCGATCATCAAACAAATTCTTTCAGCTTCTCAAAACAACTTCAAGAACCGGACAACATGATTGCGGCCGCGACACATTCGAAGTTCAAGCTGACATGGCGGGCAGACAAGGAACTGGAGGCTAAAAAAGTAGACACTGGTGCAGCGCCGTATTATGCATCATTTCCCACACAAGAACGCGAGGAAATCGAGCTAAACTCGGAAGTTCAGGATCCAGTCGACGCTATTTTGAACATCAGGTGGTCAGAAGCCCGTTTTCCTGTGGCTGAAAAGTTTCAGCGTTGGACGCAGAGCGTGACGGCAGACTTCTCCGCTTTCGAGAGCTCTCCGAGTATAAAATAACTCTTCGTCGGTTTTAACACTCGACTACAGTCGTCGGCGCCCGCTGAGAGATTGTTCAGCATGGCCAGAGACACACCCTACTTCAAAAGAGGATCTCTCTCCGACAAAAGTTTTGAAGCTCAAGTGCTCCTTACTAGCTAGAGACTAGAACTCCCTGTAACAGGGAGTTCTAGTCAGCTCTATTTGACAGTAAGTAGCATTTTAATAAAAGTTGGTGAGAAATTAAATTGTGAATATATAAAATAGTAATTTGAAATGAATTTAATAACTTTTTGCGGTAATTTGCGATTAAAATTGATTAATTTTGTGTTGCAGTAATTTGTAATGCAATTGAATTACATTTCAGAGTTCTTAAACAAAGTAATTAGTAATGTAATTTAATTACAAAAAATAGTAATTTGACCTGCTCTGCACACCACGTACCCAATAAATTTTGCTCTCTTTCTGTAAAACAACAACAGCAAAAACCATAATGTTCGCACACCTCTTTTATTTTCTTACTTTTTTTTTCTTGCTTTTCAGAATTTCCTTATATGTTGGGTAAATTAAAAAGTCACATGTTATTTAGAATTTTGTTTATTTATCTGCTTTGGGGTTTTAGTCCCCCTGGCTTCAATAAACGAAATACCGAAAGTACTGCATGGAGAATATTTAATGTTTATTGGGCCAAAGTAAAGATTGGAACTGTTTTTTTTTCGGTCTTTATTCATTGAAGGACTGTATTATTCCTCTTTATTACGGTTCATTCATCCACTTGCTCAAAAATAAATTTAGCCAATCTCGCAGTGCGCTGCGTTAGTTTTTTCTCACTGGTAGAAAGGTGATAGCTCTGAGCAACGGTTGCTGTAAACTGCCCTGAAGCTTGGACAGAGACGGAAGATCCGTTCTTTGTGATGTGTTCATGTTCAATCCCGCTTACGGGGATGTACTTCCAGGTTAGTTGATTGCCTGGCTTTTCAAACAACGCTGCAACGTTTCCCTTCAAGGTGATGTCTAATACCCACGGCACCACCTAAAAAGTAAAAAAAAGAAAGATTGAAAACAACAATATGGATAATTTCGACTGACTCGTCAGTTTAAGAACCCCGATCAAGCCACCATGGCGCAAAATGTTTGCTTGATCTTAAAATATGGTCGATTTCAACTAAAACCGGACGCAGCCGATGCGGCCAATCACGCCCCGCCAAAAGTGCACCGTCACGGCGCTCGTTGTTTTTGTAGGTACGCTAACACCGACTAAATCAATCGCACACAAAAAACAAAAAAGAGAGGACCACGGCACAATTTCGGTACGTGATTGGTTTAGTCGGGTATAGAAAACGAACGAAGACAATCAACCTTACTCACCGGACGTGACTTACACCTATTTAACTGCTGACTACCAACGTCCTCGATTAGAATGATCACGTGGCAAGTTGTAATCACAGCTAAGTAAGCACTCGGTATTCACCAATCATGTTTAGGGCCTAGTCACCCCGAGAGACTCAAAAGGCGACTGAAATGACTTAGAGCCCCTTCCCCTGGCAAATGCCGAGCGCTCCGCGCTAGCGGTCGTCGAGCGGTCGGCCTCCGTGAGGGATCAATCACGTGATCCATCCCAGTGGCACGCGCTGCGGAGCAAATCGAGCGTAACGTTCCCAACGCCACCGCTTCCAGAGCGTCTGCTCTCGCTTTCGAACAGTTTCGGTTCCCATCGCTATCTTGCCGAAAGCATGAAGTTCTGATCGGAACTTTATGCTTTGACAAAAAAAGAAAAAAAGAAAATTGATTTTTCACTACTTGATTAACGGTGACCCCGACATTAAGACAGAATTTATTTTTCCTTACAGTTATATAGGCCCGATGAAGACAACTAGAAGTACTTGTACGAGCGATCGTCATCTCCAAAAGCGACTTCCTTCTGCGGAGTATTTGGCGTGTTGTCTTCTAATTATTCCAATTACATTACAGAGACCACAAAACGAACAAACGACATACCTATCTACCTCTTCATCCGAATAGGCGCGCACAACGCCTTCGACGTAACGCGATATCTTGGGCCTCTTCGCTGGCCAGCCAAACGACTCGGCAAACACTTCGCCGAGAACGGCTGCCTCGTCGTCACTCGAGCTGGAGCTAAGCTGGTATCTTCGTCGCTGTCACTGCGTTTTATTACACCTCCTGAAATTAACTGCAACGATGTCATCGCCGCAGTTTGCTCGGGCGAGTCGGTCATGACGAGGGGAACGAAAGCCAGCACAGCAAGACAGCCCACCCAGCAATCGAAACAAAAAAGCCGCGAAACTCCTTCACTCCCCCGCGGGAATGTCGATAACGAAACTGAAACGTTGCGAGTGACGACTACAGATCGTACTCCTCCGAAAAAGGCTGCGCGGAGAACTACTTCGGACCGCTCGACGCGCTCCGCCATTTTTCCACGGAGCGGTTGGAGCTGCTCGGCGAGCGCCCCACTGGCTCCAGATCTTCAAGCGGCACGTGGAGAGATTGCCCTCATCGAGGGAAACAAGAATCCGCTCGGCAAGTGCGTGCCGAGCGCTCGCTATTTGCCAGAGGAAGGGGCTATTAGGGGATAGATGTAGTTTATCCGATGTTGAGAGTGTGACTCGGCTCAGTGCTAAGGCTCAAAAATCAAATCAAATCAAATCAAAATGCGTTATTTTTCTCCATGGCTCCTATCAACGCTGACCTCCAGCGTTAACGAAGCACTTACTGTCTTGGAACGTCGGGGGACACATCTAGAAAGGCTTGGAGCAGCAGATATTTGAAAAAGACGACGAAAAGCCCCCCTTTACGGGCGCCTCATATTTGTTTTTAGCTAGCATTTGTACGGATATTTCCGCTTTTTTATGGTGTCATCACACAAGCCCTTCGCTGGCCTTGATATGCCTCTAGACATATCCATCTTCAACAGTCCCGATGTGTCCATAAATGTACTATTATTATTATTAATAGTATTATTATTTTTTTATGTCCGGTGACCATACGGACTAACCAAGTTCAACTTTTTTTCTCCTGTCTCTGTGCGTTTGACATTAACGATATTTTTACTAATGATTTATATTGATCAGTACTACTGAAGTGAACATTTACTGTAGTCTTCTAGTATCTTAACTTTTTCTTTCTTGACCGACTATGTTACTAATTCTACCAGGCACGTAGCCAGGGGGGAGGCCCATCCGGGCCCCCCCCCCCCCCCGAAATCTTCCATTTTGCTGGGACCTCCTCTCCCCCCCCTTCCCCTCATACAGCATTTTGTCATGGGCGAACACCCCCCCCCCCCCCCCCCCCCCCCCGCGAAACAAAATCCGCTGGCTAGGTGCCTGAATTCTACCTAAATGGGTTTAGTCACACAAGCTTTTCTCGGCTTTGATGAACCAGACTGCTTCGTGATGAATATAGCTCTCGAAAATAAATGTGTATTGTATTATTACTATTATTATTAGTAGTAATACTATCCTTAGTAGTTATGGTGGTAGTAGTAGTAGTAGTAGAAGTTCTAGCTGTTGTAGTTGAACAAGCAGGTATTTGAACCCCATTTTACTAACGCTTGCGCTGCGAAACTCGGGTATTTTGGGCACAAACGCAGCCCTGCCAGTTCTGATCTGGATAGGTCGTGTATGGGAGCGCACGGCCAGTTGAGCGCGCGACACGAGAACGCACGATGAGTTGAGCGCGCGACACGAGAGCGCACAACCAGTTGAGCGAACACCGCACAAATGTGTGGCACATGCAGACAGAAGAAAATTGTGCGACTTTTCGGATCGGAGGATTTGGATTATCGATGGATTAAATATGTCTTTAATAAAAAAAAAAAAAAAATCAGGTACGACTTTTTCTTACCAATTCTTCACTCACATCGAAGAGAGGAAGGGGCCGAGGAGTGGGGGTGGCGTACACGGGTACAGGGAATGTCTCCAGTTGGGTGGAGCAGCGAGTCTAAGATTTCTTCGCGGTGCTGCGGTGCGCCTCTCGAATATACTAGAAATAGTTTACTTTTTGCTATATTTGGTTTATTCTTGGCAGTATTTAAGCTCCGATCTATTAGGTGGCTATTTAGACGTCTCTTACATAATTGTAAATACTATTGTGACGTCCATGATTGTAATGAAGAAAGCTCACCGCTAAAAAACTCAGCAAAAAACACATCGAAGGAAAATTGAGGGCAATTTTATTGGATGCCGAGCTTTCCAGGCTTTTGACGGATACAGAGAAACCTTAATATTGTCATTTGTGACAATATGAATGGTTGACATATGACACTTGGCACGAGAGCTCCTTTCCCAAAATTGATCTTAAAAACCCCAGAATACGGGGAAGCATATATTTGGTATATTCTTGGCAGTATTTACGATGCTTCTTTCCTTTTGAACGTTTTAAAATAATTTAAAATGAAATTCGTGAGGTCGGTGGTGAACTTTATCAATTAAAACCAAAGAACTAATGAAGCTAGATGGCTGCAATGCTTTTTTTTTCTGCTGACATGGGCAAAACAAATATTCATGTTTTCTTCTTTTTTTTCTGCTGTCAGCTTTTTGCAACACTTCTTGGTTTGCCACAAGCAAAAATTTCGTCGACTCATTTCGCAATGTCTTTCCTGAATGCCGCGGCGAAAATCCGCGCCAATTTCACATAAAACACGCGATGTCCGAACAAGAGGTCGGTCGGGTCGGGCCACTCGCGCTGGGCTGGTTGTGCGCTCTCGTGACGGGCGCTCTAATGACACGCGAGATAATTTCGCTGCGTTCTCGTGTCGCGTTCGCTAAGGTCGTGGCGCTCTAATGTCGGCGCTCTTGCGTCGTGCTCTGTAATGTTGTGCAGCCGTCGTGAATCACTACTACGTGATGCATGTTAAAAATTCGAGGCGAGCGGTTGTACTGTACTAGCTAAATTTCTCTTTACAACTAAGACACCTACGCCCACATAGGCTGACTAACTTAGGGGCTTACACAAAATGATTTCCCTCGTTGCGTGCGCAAGCCAGAACCGCAGAGGCGTTAAGGTATGTTGGTTGATATCTGGAACTAGCGGATTTAACTGTCGCGGTGACCGTGAAGAAAATATAAATAAATAATGAACATATAAAAAAGGGAATGTACACGCATATAGCTCATTTTGGGGAAAAAGTTTCCAACCCTAAGAATTTTTTTTTTTTAAATTAAGCTCAGAGAGTTCGGCCTTATATTTAAATTTGACAACTTTAGCGGCTGGTAGAATGATAATTTATTTTCCGTAATAAAACTGGACACAGCCCGACGCCTTTTTGACCATCTAAAATGCAAAAAGAAAGCAATCAGAAAAAACAAAACCTTTAAGACCTTGCCTTTTCAGATCCTTGACGTAGGAGCTCCTCCTCAGAAGCATCAACATTTTTTTTTTTAATGCTGCCTTGCTTCAGTGAGCGCTCATTGCTCTTGTTACGTCAAAAGTCGCTCACACAAAACGAAGCCTTCGGGCTGTGCTATTACGCATGGAACCATACAGGAGAAGTAAAGCCCCAGGAGTAATATGAAATCTCTGGCTCTTTTTAATTTGACCGATGCAAGTATTTGATTTGAAGATAAATTCTTTTAAAATGAGATTTATGCAAATGCGCTGTACCTCAAAAAGAAGCAAAAAATCAAACTAATAAGAGGTACCAAGATACGACAAATTAGGCTCGGTCTCTCAAGCTGCCGCACCATACTATGGGCCACTACTCTCTGTTTATATATCCCAGTTATGATCTCCATCTTGGTGGCTCCTTCTCCATCCCCCAATGTACCTCCGAAAAGGATGACTCGCCTGCTTCCTGCTCGTGACTACCGCAGGGTCTAGTAGCTCCGTAGTGGCTGATTTTTCACTTAGCTTGCGATTACGTAGATGCGCTATTAACTTTTAAACAGCGCTAGTTAGTCACGATGGTGAATACGGCTGATTGAGTTCAGTTCCGATTAACTGAAATATGTTGGCGAAGTAAAAGACGCACTGAGAACGTTAACACAATTCCCGGGGAATAATGATTGCCACGGAAATAGTCACGTCCTTCAGATAGTCATGGCTTTAGCAAATTAAAATGCAGTTCTTAAGTCATTAGCTCTGCACCCGTACCTGTAACTTCACACCGAAACATGGCAGTGGTCCCTCTGCACTCGAGAACCAGCAATTATGTCGGGAAATATTAGTGACGCGAATAGGACCCACAGATTATCCACGTTGAATGCATTCCCACTGCGCATTCGCATTCAGTCGAATTTTTCTTTTTTTTTTTTTATAATGCTAATTTTGGACTAACGTTTCTTTTTTTTTTTTTACGTTGAGAGTTGTGCGATGCTTGAGTTTAGCTACCCAGTATGGTTAAACTGTATCTCTCCAAATTTTCTTAAGCTTTCTGCACGTAGGTTAATCATTTGTGCTCTGATTGGCTGTGTATTTGATAACCATAGTAAGAGGAAAGTAAACTATTTATTTACATTTTTTTTTTCTGCAGACACCGGTAACTTAGAAATCTGTGCATATCTGTCATCCTTCTCGGCGGACTCCTCTTGGAGTCGAGTGCCCTTGCACGACATGTGTGGCAGCCTCTTCATGGTCTGCTGGAACCACTTTTTGGGAGTGTTTAATTCCCACGCCTAGACAGCTGCTTCCTGCTTATCAGTGACCGCAAAATAACATCCTAGAATGGGATTTGTAATGACACCCAACAAGTGATAACCACTGGGAGCCAGGTCAGGCCATACCCATGCCTGATCGAAGGTCTGACTGGTCGCACGACGTGTGACAAAGACGGCCAAACCCGACCAGGTGCCGGTCAATCACAGCGTCGTGCGCATTCGCGTGAAGGCGTGATCCGCCAGCGTCTCATCGGACTCCGCTGTCTTCTTGGCAGGCTGTACGACCAGTCAAACGTTTGGTCGCGCATAGATATGGCTTGATCGGGCCTCCAGTGCCTATCATCTGTTGGGTGTAATAAAAGAAAATTACCTACGAGGACACTATTTTTGGCCATTAATAAAATGGAAGCAGCTGTTCGAGCCTGGGTGTCAGGTGCTCCCAAAACGTGGCTCCGGCAGGGCGTGGAAAGGCTGCCACAGAGGTGGAGCCAGAGAAATCGCGGCTAGACGGGGAAGTCTGTCGAGAGGATGGACATATTATTGGGCACATACCAGTAAGTGACCGGTATCTGCAGCAAAGCAAATTATAAATTGTTAATCAATATAGTTCGCCCCTTGTACACGCTTCGTAAACAAACAAAATATTAACCGGTCAGTAACGTAAAATACGATAATACATCCAGGAGGATTAAGTTCGAACGTGGCGTCTTATGACATAATTACCCCAAAACTCATTTTTTTTTTCCTTTGCTTTTATTCGGAAAAAATGCCGTTGTGCAAATTTTATAGCGATCACTTCTTAGAAGGGTGGTCCAACCAACAATGCAGCTAGACCTATAGCGTGTTCGCATTGTAACATTTAAACGGTTGGTTCATTATAGATGTCGAATTGTACGCACCACTTTTGCTTCGTTGACATACCACTTGGCTTCAATGGTGGATAAAGGGGGTATTTCTACCTCTTGTTTAATCCATTGCTTCGTTGTGCGTGTTTCGACCGTTGTGGATCCAGTACTCGACTTCACTGATGTTGAAAATTCTGAGCTGAATTGATATACCAGTGGAACGTTTACACTGAACGTGAGTTTAGCAGTGAACTCTAGTCCCTTGTCTACGGTCCAGATGTACTCGTCTTCGTGCTCTACTTGCTCTGATATCTGAGCCTTACCTACCTCACCAGTCTGGTTGTTGTGAAAAATCTGTACATAAACAGCAGAAATCTGTAGCGACTGTACTTGAGCCTTGCCGTAAGTCACCGGTCCGACTTCAATCGTCACAGGTGGGTTCCTGCATTGAAGAATAGGCGCATTTCTCGGCAGCTTGATCCCTTTAGGGACATGGTTATAGTTTTTTATTATTCTAGTGAAGGTTGATCTCTATAGCAAAGTCAAAGATATTAAGTATTATTCCAAATTATTTAGCATTGACTATATTATCCTTTATGACGTAAAAGGATTCATACATTTTTTTCAAGCAACAGAAAAGAACACCCGCATTACGATGCAGATTACATGGTAAAAACTGCGTCCTTCAGTTTATTCTGCTGCTGTCGCCTAAAGCTTTCATCGCCACGCAGCCTGCGCTACAAAAACTGAAGCCAAATATTGTTTAGAGCACAATTGTGATCGCGGTTGAGATCTTGGGATGATTAATACCGACATACAATTTTAGTTTGTAGCTCATAGCGATGCAGTGAAAGCCTACATTCACTGTCAGCTTGAGAAGCGCGGGCCGTGGTTTATGATCACGATTCTTGCTTCGTGATTGGCCCTTCGGCGTTCTTATCGGCTAATGCTGAAATCTCATTGGCTGTAGCGCGATATTGGGATGCTGCGAACTCGTTACGCTCAGCGTTTCTTATACTGTCAGTTACAATACTGCTTCCTGTGACTTTGCTTGAACGCGTTGCAAGCACCGTACACATGAGCTGACAGTAGAAAGTTTTATTACTGCTGTAACGAACGCCGTCTTGGAGACCGACAGGCGTCCAAGCGACCTTCCAAGAAGCCAGCAGACGTGGGAAAACGTCCAGGCATTACTACGTTCCAAGAACCCATTGGGCTCCCGAAAGCCCAAGGACAAGCGGCGGCGGCGAGACGGGGGTGCTGGACAGCGTCCTTTCAAGAGGCCCGCCGACGTGGGAAGAAGACCAGCCACTCGGCCTTCCAGGAATCCCACAATGGCCCACGAGGTCAATGCATCCTTTCCCGACCTTCCCAGGTGGACCCCACCCGTCGGGCGCCCCGCACCCAATTACCTTCCCTTCGGAAGAGGAAGCCGCTGCAGCAGCAATCATGGATGCGCGCCGCGCCGACCCCGCCGACCCCTCGGGGGACAAGCGGACACGTCTTTGGGACAGCTAATCTGCATGGTGTTGATGGCGTCTGTGGGCGGACACGAGGGTGTGTCGCTGTGTGTGGGGGAGGAGCTGACATAGCTAGCTGAAATCCCTACGTGGGGAATGTAGGGAAGCGCGTCCCGTTAAAAGAAGCGGACTTCTTCGGGACTCCTGTCTTCTGATGCTGCTTTTCGACCCTGTACAAATGTAGAGTAAACCCGTTGTCAAAAGAGGCCCTGCTTCCGAGCTCCTTCTGCCTGATGTCCTGGTCGGCGCCTGGCTCCAGCGGAGCCCGACAGCAAGGACGACCCCGGAGCTGTTACAACTGGATGGCAGCCGGTGGGATCGAGTTCAACGACCAGTGAGCGGCGGCGCCGAAAGATTTCATGGACCGTGATCCGAGTCCGGTGAGTGACGGCATCCTTTCTCTTTCGCCAGGCCTGTAAAATAGAGTTGAGAATTTTTGCAGGGGCGTGGGGACTACCTTAAAGTTTGGAAGTTTTGAAGTTGGTACTTCTTGGTAGTGGAGCAGAGTTTGCCGCCCAGATAGGTCGCGGACATGGAGCTGCAGCGCTTGCTGAAATCGGAGTTGCTCGATTTGTGTGAAGAGCTTGGGGTTGAGGCGGGCACATCAATGAAAAAAATGGAGCTCGTTAAGGCTATTCAGGAAGAGGGTCTTGACAACGATGAAATTGAGGTAATGTGGAAACGAATCAGAAACCGAAACGAAGACGATGCAAAATTTAAAGAATTGGAACTTGAAAAACTTCGTCTAGAGGTGGAACTGAGGAAGACGAACGGAGGACCAGAGATGGAGGTAGCAGGCAGCCGAAATCTCTATGACATGTCGAAGCTGATACAACCTTTTAAGGTAGGACAGGACATGGGTCTCTACCTTGTAAACTTCGAGAGGGCATGTGAAAGGGCCCGTTTTAACCGGGACTCTTGGCCGAGAAGGTTGCTGGGTGTACTGCCCTGCGAGGCAGCCGGGGTAATCGCCAGGCTAACTGCGGAAGAGGCGGACGATTACGAGTGTGTGAAGGGCTGTTTGCTCAAAAAGTACCGCCTGTCGGCGGAAGCGTTCCGACAGAAGTTCCGAAGCGTGAGCAAAAAGCCGGAGGCTAGCTACGCGGAGTTCGCGTACGAACTGAGGTCGTATCTTATCGAATGGATGAAGGTAGCCAAGTCGTATGACGACAAAGAAAGGATTCTGGAGGTGGTCGCGCTGGAACAGTTTTATAAGACCCTAAGTGAACCCATGCGGACTTGGATTCAAGACAAAACAGATGTAGACTCCGTCTACAAGGCCGCGGATTTCGCGGACGAGTATAGCTCGCGCAGAAACAACAAAGAAGGAACGGGGAAAACCTTCGAAAAGACAAACTGGGACGAGCGACGCGGAAAGGGATGGAAAGGGCGAGAGCCTACGGGAAGGAATACTGAGGAAAATCGGGGGGATGAGGAAACGAAAGCATCCCAGGGCAGTGACGCGGACGATAGGCAAAAGAAGAAAGCATTCGAGGCAAGGAAGCCTATAACGTGCTTCAACTGCCATGAGACGGGGCACATGGCTGCAAGATGCACTAAACCAAGGGTGGTTTTCGCCTACGCTAGTCAGTGCGCGGAGAATAATGAGCTCCTGAGCCCGTACCTGTTCGACATGACGGTAAACGGGAGGGCATGCCGCGTGTTGCGCGACAGTGGAGCCACCATTGACCTTGTTCACCCTACTTATGTCACCGAAGCCAACTACAATGGAAAGTGTAGTTGGATCAAGTCGGTGTTAGACAAAGGGAGCGTGTGTCTTCCCGTGGCGGATGTCCTCGTTTCTGGTCCGTTCGGAGAGGTTCGCACTGAGGCGGCGGTTTCGGACAAACTGCCGCCGCAGTACCGTTACCTGTTTTCTAACCGAACAGAGAAGATTCTAAGAGAGCAGGGCAAAAGCCTCGGGGAGGGTCTCGTTCAGGCAGTCATAAGAGCTAAAGCTCACGAGGTGTCCACGCGGCTTGCTTATGACGATTCTAGCCCGGGAAATCTAAAAGACTCTCCAGTAAGGGTTTTAGAGCAGAGTAGCCCTAAAGAGACGAGGAAAGGGTTAGAAAGCGAGAAAAGCTCCGCGTTAGACAGGGAAACCCCCGACGAGCAGCTGACGCAGACAGATGGGGTGCTATTAGCCCCTACCTCAAAAGGCTTCGAACAGCTCGTCTCCGAAACAAAGGTAGTGCTCATCGAAGAGCAGAGGGCCGATCCCAGTCTGACCAAGCTTTGGGAAACTTGCAAGGATGGCGTGGCGCGAAAAAACGTCACCTTTCCTGTCCACGAGGACGTGCTGTACTTTGCCAAGTTAATTTTTGTGATTGCGGGCCTGGTGATTGCGGAGAGGGTGGCGTCGCTTACTGGATTTGTGTGTTGCGGTCTGTGTTTCTTTGGGGTGTTGGCCATTCTCGACGACCTCAAAGCTGATCTCTTCAGGAGAGCAGCGGAAACTCCTCCCCTTCAGAGATCTTCCCGTCCGTGGAGGAGCTGTAACGAACGCCGTCTTGGAGACCGACAGGCGTCCAAGCGACCTTCCAAGAAGCCAGCAGACGTGGGAAAACGTCCAGGCATTACTACGTTCCAAGAACCCATTGGGCTCCCGAAAGCCCAAGGACAAGCGGCGGCGGCGAGACGGGGGTGCTGGACAGCGTCCTTTCAAGAGGCCCGCCGACGTGGGAAGAAGACCAGCCACTCGGCCTTCCAGGAATCCCACAATGGCCCACGAGGTCAATGCATCCTTTCCCGACCTTCCCAGGTGGACCCCACCCGTCGGGCGCCCCGCACCCAATTACCTTCCCTTCGGAAGAGGAAGCCGCTGCAGCAGCAATCATGGATGCGCGCCGCGCCGACCCCGCCGACCCCTCGGGGGACAAGCGGACACGTCTTTGGGACAGCTAATCTGCATGGTGTTGATGGCGTCTGTGGGCGGACACGAGGGTGTGTCGCTGTGTGTGGGGGAGGAGCTGACATAGCTAGCTGAAATCCCTACGTGGGGAATGTAGGGAAGCGCGTCCCGTTAAAAGAAGCGGACTTCTTCGGGACTCCTGTCTTCTGATGCTGCTTTTCGACCCTGTACAAATGTAGAGTAAACCCGTTGTCAAAAGAGGCCCTGCTTCCGAGCTCCTTCTGCCTGATGTCCTGGTCGGCGCCTGGCTCCAGCGGAGCCCGACAGCAAGGACGACCCCGGAGCTGTTACACTGCGTATATGAGAAAAAGCAAGTGCTGTGCGTTTGCGTTAGGGTCGCAAGATCCACACTGCCCATACTATATACCAGGGGTGGCCAAACAGTCGCTCGTAAGCCGCCTCTGGCTCTTTGTGGGACTAAGTGCGGCTCGCGGCTCCCTGGTAAGAGTGCCCTTCTTCCCTTCCTGTGTCCCTAGGGCAAACAAAGTTCTAAAATAGAAAGAAAAACTCAGTCTTTGCAGCTTTGTACTACACTACGCACATACAGCTGCACAAACTTTTTGACACACCGATGTGTCCGGTGGCCATGTTTCCTTTATTGTTCGAGAAAGAATTTCGAACCGTATACGCATAACGGACATCAGGAGACAGTGGCTGGATAACGAACCATACATTTATTTTTGCCTAGCGGTTGAGAAACATTATGCATGCCTGGTGTTATTTGTTGTAGTCGACGATTATACTTGTCTTCTTTGAAAAGGACTGCTCTCTCCATATTGTTCCTTGTTAAAAGTAAGCCCCCTTCCCCCCCCCCCCCCGCCCCTCCACACACACACACACCCCTCCTTTTGTTTTTTTCTTGTCGGCTCTAAACTTTTGTAGTTTTATCCGCGGTTTTAACCTAATTCCACTCTGGCCACCCCTGCTTTATACTCACGCAACGCCACGAGCTTTACATACGTACGCTCACTATCCATGGTTGCTTGCAGCAATTCTTTGCGTTCCCGTCTCGTTGGCATCATCGCACGCGGGACGGCGCGGGACTTAGATTGGCTGGACCAAATACTGGTTTCAGATTGCTTGCAGCAGTTTGCATGGAAACATCTAGATGGCGCTGCGTGTGCTTGCGTATGCACCGCATGCAATGGTAAAACAAAATGGCTAGGTGGCGTAAGCTACCGCCCGACCCAATGGGCTCAGGCGTATTCATCCATCCATCCATCCTATGCGTTTGCATTCCGTTGTACTAAAAGCGCTGGTTTGACGCGCTCCGCAGCGTTTCGCTGAGGGCTTGCGTGCTCGTACTCAATGCGAACGTAAGGGTCTTTGCGCTACTCTCAAACTCAGTGTCCTCGACTAGTACACACATTAGAGCCACAATTTAAAAGTAGACTTCAGTTATAAGCAAACACAAACATTAGCTGCTAGGTAGCAAGGCAATAGTGTGGTGTACTGCAAGATTCAATCAGTAATGAATAATGTAAAATTTGACACCAAAATACGACACAAATCGACCGGTCAATTGAATAACGGCGAAGAACCGATGCAGTCTTTCTTAGAAGGAATTTGGGAAGTTAATGTTTGTTTGTGGGTTTCAACGTCGTATCTCCAAGACCTCCGGCTAGCGGTGAGCGATTTACACTGCGCTTGACTTTATTCGATCAAAGTATTTTTACTTGCGAAATCAAATATTAATTGCAGGGTTTCGTGGCTTACGCCTATTGCCTTGGACGAAATAAACTGGGAATGCAGTCACTGCGTGGGCCGATTAAATTTTTGATACCGGGAAATTCTGCACGGCTGTTCTCTTTTAGCAGTAATAAAAAGCGGTTGCCGTTGAATCTTGTTACGCCAATAATTTTATTATTTAATGACTGGACGTTCGTTATTCGAGCCAGAAATGTAGTATATAACATACTTAAAAAGGTCTTGTTCGGGATGGGGGCCTCGTGTTTTGTTATCACCAAAGACATCATAAGTTACCAGCCTTTCATTGTTAGTGCAATTTAGCAGGAGGAATTTGTAAACGATATCTTCGAGATCAATGAGACGGCCGCCGCCTAGAAAGAAAAGAAGTATATTGCACGTTTAGACTTCCAGGGCCCAAGAGTGGGAAGGGTGCTAAATGTGCGGAAAGTTCGACTTTTAAAACAAAGTAAAAAGGTCAATAAATTTTTTAGAGTACAAATCTTAGGCGCCCGTTTCCAACTTGAGTGGCGTCGCCTTCGCCGTCGGCGTCGGCGTAACCGCGCGCTGGATTATGGGTAAATTTGCTCGTTCAATATAGCTGACAAATTTCCCGCTAAATTTAGCGGAAAACTTTCCTTGCCAAATTTAGCAAAAAAACTTTCACCACTAAATTTAACGGGAAAGTCTTTCCGCTAAATTAAGCGAAAACACTTTCCAGCGAAGTTTAGCGGAAAAAATTTCCCCGCTAAAACTAGCGGAAAAAATTCCCCGCTAAATTTAGCAAACAAAATTCCCCGCTAAAATTAGCGGAAAAAATTACCCGCCAAATTTAGGGGACACAATTCCCCGCCAAATTTAGCGGACAAAATTCCCCGATAAATTTAGTGAAAAATTTCCCCGCCAAATTTAGTGGAAAATGTTCCCCGTCAAACTTAGCGGAAGATTTTCCCCGCTAAATTTAGCGGATACTTTTCCCCTAAATGGGAGGTAAGGAGGAGGGGCATACCCTCTTTGTATCTTTCCCTCCTCCTCCTCAAGAGCTGCGCTCTAATTCGGCATTACATGAGATTGTAAACGTCTTCCATTTTTTTAGAACCTGAAAAGAAGCCCCGTAGTCCTCAAAGCGGCAATTGAAAAACAACAAACATAGAAGGTTTTTTTAAAAGTTAAAAATTTGGCTTCAGCAAAATTTAGGATGCCACGAAAAACCGAAGTTTGAGTTTGCTGCGTAGATAAGCAGCGACTGCACAGGGACATCAGACATAACAATTTCTTCTATTACTTCTTAAGTCAAGGTAATTGAAAACTTTCCCCTTAACATGCAGTTCTCCGCAACTAGCCTCCTACTATTGATTTCTTCAGTGCCCATGGCCTAGACATATGGTTCCAATTGGTAACTTACTGAGCGTCATCGAAAACCACTATATCAGCTCTTTTTAGATCGACTTGAGGCTCGTGGGGAACTCAGGGGCGCGCCACAGTTTCTACTCGTCAAGCGGGTACCAAGCTAGCAGTGGCGGAACGCGATAATGATCTAATCATCCGCCGAAGCCAGTGGCCGGGACGGTCTAATTGGTTAACGCATCGCCCCGCATAGGCGGAGGTTGCGGGTTCTATCCCCACTGCTGGCCCAATTTTTTGCCAGCTCTCTTTCCCCTTTGCTTCCCCTAAAATTAATGCAATAAATTAAATCATCACTCTTTCCCCTCTGCGTTAACAACATTACTACGGCTGCACTTGTCAATCTTCACTATATATACCAGGAAATTCTGTATATATATATATATATATATATATATATATATATATATATATATATATATATATCTGCTGGTTGCATATATTCATATCTATGCAACCAGCCTCTGCCGCGTTGCGCGAGAAAAGCACAGCAGAGCTTGGTTGCACAATTTCTCTGCCGGGCGCGGTGCCGTCGGGGCTGACAAGCGATTGCAAACCGAAACCTAAAAACCCGTCGAATTTGTGCGGTTCTTCAGAAAGCCGTAAAATGCTTCGCGTGCCTTCTATCGCTCTGCAATTTGTTGATATAGTGTTTTTCGATGGTGCTGAGCAATTTTCTAATTGAAACCATGCCCTTAAGGCCACGGTCCCACTGAATGTGGCAGTTTAGGTACTTTTTGGCAGGTCATTACTCATCTCCTTTTAAATACTGTTTTTTGCGATTAATGTCATTCGAAAGGCAATGCAATCCTCTTTCATTTGATATTATGTATGTCTTGGTTTTTACTGTTCATGCGTGTTTGTAGCGTTGAGAATATGATGGCGCGGACCCTCACTTGCTCCGCTAGTTCATGTTTCATGAACGATCCATTAAAGATAGCACGGTTCCAATATAGCAGTTTTGTTAAGATGATGTCGGAGCAGAATCTAACGATACACTTTTTTGGTATTTGCACTACTTTGTTTTTTTCATCCCTCCAAATATTGCCCTAAAATTGACATTTTTCAGCACTAATATATTTTTAATGACAAGCGCTAGGGCAATGAAATTAGCTACAGATGTAGTGCTTATAATTGGCAATATGCAAAAAAAAAAGATTAATGTTGTGTAAAATATTTTTGTTTAGATATTTTATATCAAACGTAGCACTTTTTAGTGCTTCGAGTCATGGTACTTCAAATGCCGCTGAGGAAATAATTTAGCTATGACAAAATCTTTTATAAAATTTAGAGCTACAATGGTTGCCCAAGAGGTGGACGATGGCTTTTTTTCATTTTCAAAGTCATAACGCTCCAGGAGCCCTTCAAACTTACCTGTTTTTGATGCATATCTTTTTTGGACATCAAACAGATTTATTGGCATCTAATAACATTTATTGCTTGGAATAGATATACATTGCGATGTATTCAATTTGCACAATGATCTTGCTTTGGTTTCTTAATAGGTGTAGAGCTTAGCTAATTTTAAAAACAATTAAAAACTGTTTGGGTGTTTTGTCGCGCTACCTGGCGGATGGCAGACAAACTGCTGATATCTAGTGTTCAAAAAATTTCCGAGGGCGGCGTTGGCGTTTGTATCATCATCGATCTCCGTGTCTTTTTACCTTTACATTTAAAAAATATATTGGAAGATTTACTATCGATAGATGAATGGTTTAAGTACTGGGTCCGATTAATAAATCTAAGAAAATAATTACACAAGTGTAGCGTGATATAATGTGTTCATTATTCGATATGATTGAAATCAATAAACAATAAAGACGAAGAGGAATATAATGCACCCGAGTTCACTTTATGTCTAGAGTCACTAAATGAGCTTTAAAGTATCGGCATTCCGTTCCCCAAAATTGTTTTGGGCGCCGCCATTTTGGGTCTTGTTCAGAGCAAACGCAACTGCCGATCGTCATGATCCAAAAGTACGACTTCCTCAGCATTAGTTGCGGTGCCAGGAAGCTGATGCAATATTGCAATGCTCTCTCGCGGGTTGTTTAAACATTTGTGGGGTACAGAAAAGCGTTTCCTGTGATTTTAGATAAAGCTTCAGGTAACTGGCAACCATGATTTTAAGCCACAATATAGCCAAGTGTCGTTACTCTGAACCGTGGCTAATTTATACCCGTTACACGAGCATCCTTAACCGTGGTTAAATACCCTTGTTACACGGGCGCTCTTAACTGCGGTTACACAGAGCCACAGTTAGCGCACAATATTTGCGGACAACATTCTGCGGCTATGCAGTCAATGCTATGTGAGAACGTGCGCTTGAGCATCCTGAGAAACCATCAAAACAGTGCACACGCGTTCTTCACTCCTTCTGAAATAGCTGTCCGAGAGTATAGTGCGGTAACTGTGGTGCCGCGTAACAGCAGTTAACTATACTCTCGGACAGCTATTTTAGAAGAAGTGGAGAGCGCTCGTGCACAGATTCGATGTGTGCTCAAGATGCTCAAGCGCACGTTCGCCCATAGCTATGACTGCATAACCAAAGAATGTTGTCGGCCAGTATTGTGCGCTAACTGTGGCTTAGCGTAACTGCAGTCAGGTGCGCCCGTATAACAAGGGTATTACTGGCACAAGTGGGAACAATGAGGAAGAGGCAGGTGTCAAAAGGTAGTGGCTTGTGGAATCCACGGGGCTTACGTCATGGCCCCTCCAGGTATTACAAGCCTCTTGAACAAGAGTATGAATAGTGTCATTAAATAAGCTACGCGTCAGAGTAGCGACACTGGGCCATATTGTGGCTTAAAATCATGTTTGCCAGTTATTTGAAGCTTTATCTGAAATCACAAGAAGCGCTTTTCCGTTCTCAACTTTAAACAGTGTGCGACAAAGCAAAGCAACATTACGTGAGCTTCCTAACACCAAATATAATGCTGAGGATGTCGCACTTTTAAATCTTGACGATCGGCAGTTGCGCCTGCACTGCACAAGCACCAGAATGGCGGCGTTCACAACACTGACGGGGAAGAGAGTGCCGATACTCCAAGCGCAGCTCATTTATTTGCTCTAGTTCCCGCAAAACTCCTTCTCTCTGACTGAAACTGAAAGTAAATATGAATAATACACTAATATTGTAGCTTATTTAGTTATAACCAACTACACATAATGAGAGGAGGAAGCTGCCGGGTAGGTGAAACGTGGGTTTTATGTGCGACCGTACTAACCGTCTCAAAAGAGAGAACCCGCGAGCTTGCGCTGGTTTAAAAAGAGGCATCCAAAGAAAGAGGCGGCACGCTGTGCTCTTTGTTATTATGCGTCTAATTGGAAATTGTTGTGTGTATGTTTACACAGCCGGAGGTTAGTCCGCCTTAGTGGGTGTCTGACTCTCAGCTGTAGATGAGCAGTTTAGCCAGTGCGGTACAACCGCAAACCTGGCGTCTTTAACGTGCACCACGCAGTACTGATACACACGACCGCACGCCGGTACGCTGCTCTTCCAGGGGCCCTAAACTCGTCAAACACAAAGTTGGAGCCGAAAGTTCGCGGAGCGCGCTGATTGGACGTCGGCGACAAAAGTGCTAAGTCATTGTCGCGATTATCCAATCAATGCGCTCCGTCAACTTCGGCCCCAACTTTGTGTTTGACGAGTTTAGAACCCCAGATCGAAACGGGCAGGGGCGGGGTGGCTTCTGCAGCGCGAGCTTTCGCTCCAAGTGCTCCGAGCTGGTGTGCGCTAGACCATGCACTCAGCCACCGACCCCCCCCCCCGCCTGGTGCGTCTAATTTATATACAGGTATAAGCCTTTGAAGATCGACGATGGACGTCGATCGTCTCGAGGTAATGTAACGTAAGAACATTATACAAATAATAAACTTGTTGAAGGACTGAACAACTCAATTTTTCAATTCTTGGATTGTAATATGGCGATAGCCTATTGTACTTACTGTTGATGAAGAGCAATATGAGGCGATGAGGTAATGATTAAATGATGAGGCTCTATGGGGACGACGACATTAGTGGGTGTCGAACCACAACGTACAGTGCCAGACTTGTTTCAAGTATCGTGTACCCAAAGACTTTCTTCACCCGCAACAGAATATGGTAGAATCAATGAGGATGCTGCTTTACAACTGCACTGTGCAGAAGTGCTGCTTATTCGTTAAAAGGAGGGACGAATTTCTAGGAGAATTCCCTGATTGACTACTCGGAACAAATGGCCTCGTTGACGTAAAGTGTCCCCGTTCCAAAAGATTCTTGAAGCATACTTAAACCGCAAAGGAGTATGAGGCGAAAAATAAGAAAATGGAGCCTGGTGCGAAAGGTACAAATCACCACCATAGCTTCTACTATGAAATACATGGGCAGTTACACAATACACAAAGAGAGTTTTGTGATTTAGTTATATTTACACTCAAGGGCATTGATATCCAACGTATTCAGAGAGATGACACCTCCTGGTCAACCAACATAGAGCCTTTTCTACTTAAGTTTTACATGGAAAGCCCGACTTCCGCTGAAATTCCTCTCGTAGACGAGTTGTCCGACCGAATAAACTGCCATTACTTCCGATCTGGGAATCTTTCGCTCTTTGTTCGTAGGCCATAGTATCATGAGATGGAGGGGTGTGGCTCTTCGTCCGCCGAATATCGCTTCGCCGGGTTTTTTTCCGTGTAAGATGAGACCGTCGCGTGCTGCCGGAACAAGAACCTGGCGATTCTTCACTGAACTGCTTCTTCCGTAAGCTTCAGAAGGGCTTTTTTTTTTTCGCACACCATATGTTCTGCTTGCCCGTTAGTTGCAGGATGGTATGGCGCACTAATGTGATGCCTGATGCCGTTTTTCTTTTTTCTTCAAAAACTTGTTTATTTTGTTTGAAGCAAGATTTGGCGCGTTATCAGAGAAAAGTATTTTCGTTAGGGCAAAAGTAGGTAAAAGAGACCGTAGAACGTCAATGACGCGTTTGGACGTCGTGAAAGGCATCGTGTAAACTTCCAACCACATAGAGTACGCATCGTCCATGACTCCGCAGATGCGGATACGTTTCGCCGCCCACCGACTGAATAGTGGATAGTTCTCAGTTACTGTTCATGATGGCGTTGGACTCAAGGAAGACTTCGAGTCTTTCCAGAAAGTTAGCCCAGGTGCCAGGACTTTTGTCGAAAGCGGTAAGTGTTCGAAACGTCGACAACGTCGGTAGCCACGTGTTGTGCTTGACACTGGACACTTACCATTCGCTGAGAAGAAACTTGCATGCTCGTCTGCCACGAGTCGTCCGATATCAGGCCATCACCGCAACACCATCTCCCGACAAAAACGCATGTCCATAGTTAGCAATGACGTGAACTTATAAATTCCCGAACGCTCATAACTTGCCGTCGCTAAACGCCGTTCATTCATAGCGTCATCATTGCAAATAAACGTCTTCCTATTTCTTCTGATGGTTTTCATCATATTCCTCCTAAGCTGTACTTACAACATTATGTGTGTCGGTACTTCCGAAAATATTGCAACGGCGTTTGTTTTCTGGGAACCTATAATGTAACAACCTTTACAACATCTGCCGTACCCCGTGAAACACAATATTTCGGGACGTTATTTTTGGTCGTCATTAAAATGCTGAGGTAAGCACCGTAAATCGCGACTTGACGTCCGCTTCCACTGGTGTCTTGGAAGATTGGGTCTACTGAGCGTGCATTCCTACAGAAGAAATTTTCATTGATACAATATTAACACGTCAATCAACATTTGATTCCTTCTTGGTAAGATTTGTTGCGAAAGCCCGTTACAACCGCCGAACCGCATCTCCGCATACATCCGTTTGCAGGGCCACGCTACTTGAGCTAGCTGAGCACAGCTGGCAGCGGCGCGAGCAAGGCCACGAGGGGAACGTGATGGTGCTCGAGCCATCCCACTGTGAACCAATGTTTCGGCCACCCCACAGGTGCGTGTCGCCATCTATTGGTTGAACTAAAGCCTTGTTCAAGATGGCTGCCGTGGGACCGCAGCCTTAATACGCGAAAATATTTAACAATCTAATTATCCCGGACTTCAATAATTTTCCTAAATAGGCACCTGGCCCACGACCAAAAACGACATAAGCTTTTTTTGTTGCGACGCGTAGTTTTCGCAATATCGAGTTTGTCCACTTTTCGTGAAACACCCGGTATATAGGGTGTTTTTTTATGCTTAACACAATTGTTTAAAAATAGCCGCTTGTGGAGTAGAGTTATATGGCCAGGGGTCATAATACGTATAGGGGGCTAATCGTAACGATCAGTCGGCTAATTAATTAAAATTCGTTAATTAACTTTTTAATTAGTTAAAATATACATATAGTTCAAATTAGAAATTTTCTCAGCGTCATCGAAAACCACTAAATCAGTCATTTTCAGAAAGACTTCGAGCACGTGAGAAGCGTAGTAGTGCACTAAAGTTACCACTGGTGGAGCAGGTACAAGGCTGGGGCTAGATAAAAGACGGAAATATTGCGCGGGCGCCTTACCGCAACCGCTAGCGTATAAATATATATATATATACCCGACAAATCTATTGAAATGTTGAACCTTAACTCTGCCCCTTGCTTTGATGGCATATCATCACCAAGGGTTTTGTCTGTAACCAAAGAAATTGCTATAGTTTTCGTAATTTTAGCTCGCTTATACCAGGCATCTCCTTTAACCTCTGATATTCCTTCTGACTGGAAACATGGGAACGCCATACATTTGCTAAAATATGTTTGCCGAGATCTTCTATCGAACTTCATACATATATCCCTTACCAGCATACCTTGTAAAATTGTAAAGCACATATTATTTACTCTCCCGTAATAAACTGCCTAGTTCAAAATAACCTGCTCCATCCAAGTCAGCATGGTTTCCGAAAAAACCTGAGGCAACTTTCAACTTTTTTTTTTGCATCTGACCTCCATAAAACTTTCAACAAGTCACTTGCTACCCGTGCCACTTTCATAGATGTTTCCAAGGCTTTCGACACTGTACCTCATCAGCGTTTACTACTGAAACTTTCCCAACTTAATATTGAAGACAGTATAATCGACTGGATACCTTCATTACTAATGAATCGTCAGAAATCTCTTAGTATTAACAATGCTGATTTTCTACCTCTGCCAGTTTAATTATGAGTCCCACACGGAAGTGTTTTAGGTACCTTACTTTTTTATAAAATTGTAATATACATCAACGATCTGATATATTCTGTTACTTCATCCAGATGCCTTAAATTGTTCGTTGTCATATGTTTTAGTAATCTTCATCATCAGCAACTGATAGAATTTTACCTCGAAAACAAAATCCTCAAGTGAATGGGGGAGGTAATGTATCAAGTTTTTTAATAGCTGCGAACAATACTAAAATATAGAAAAATAAACATAAAACAATTCACAGTAAGCTTTTTCTCTTTCAAAAAATTTCTTGTTAGAGCTCTTCACAAACATTGGTAGTTCGAAAACCAGTTTCGTGGCAGTAATGAATGATAACATATCTGTAAAGTGCGTGTCTGAATAGTGTGTACTTACATTGTTGGATGGGGATCTGTATAAAAGAGGAAGCACGCTGAGGTGAAAATTTGAACGCCAGACAGGGACATCGCTTGATTTTAGAACAAAACAGCATATTCTATATGCTAATCACTTTTGCAGTTCAAGCCGGAAGTAGAAATATATCGTCACATTTGTGTGTCTCTGTGGGTTTGGTAGAATGAGCGCAGTGTTTTTTTTATGTTGAACACTACGCTTTTAGATCAAATAGTAAACTGGCGCAGAGCTTTAGCGTTACTCCATGACGCACTTTCATGCCAGAATATTAGCTTTATTCGATAAACAGGGTGTTTTATTTATTTCGAACAGATTAATTAGATCAAATTGTAAAATAAACACAAAGGGGCTTTGTGCAGGTGTGTTACACGGCCAGGGGGGAGGCATTATTTAGGCTTCTAATTTTCCATGCAAGTCGGATGATGACCTAAAATGTGTTAATTACCATTTTAAGATAGTGTAACTAAGCATATGGTTACAATTAAAATATCAATGGGCGTCATCGAAAACCAATAAATGAGTTTACTTTAGAACGACTCGAAGCGCGTGGCAAACTCGGAAATGCACCAAAGTTACACCACTCGTGCAGAACCCTCAAATCTGGCGGCGGGGAAGCGCGCATGATTATGAAACGAGGGTTCTCTGTTCAGAGGTATTTGAAGAATATTATCTATAATTAAAACCATAAAATACACCACTAAAATTTAGCTGATACTAGTTTTTTCATGAGCATGAACACTTGCGATTTTGAAGTTGGTAAGTACTGTTTAATTGTAAAGTTGATAGGTACGACTATGTCTGTGATGACCATCAGTTGTGTGCGGCATGCAGCACACTTTGCTACCGGAAGCGTCAGACAAATATCAAATTCCTGTTATAGCTGTGGCGGCATTTCGTACATTTTGTTACCCCATTATCCTGTTCGTTGTAACGAGAACAGATTGTTCAGAACTGCAATCTCACTGTATAGAAATGGTCAAGCCGCGTAACCTCTTAACAAAGACAGTTAAAAGATACTCTCCACAAAAGGTGGCAGAATCGTTTTTTTCAGCAGCTGGTGAACACTATTTACTAAGTTTTGCACTCACCAACGCGAGAAGAAGGAGGTGAAGCTGAAGGCTATGCGCCATGTTGCTTGTTCACAAAATTATGGACTTCGAGGGTGCTTTCTTCCCTTTGGGTACCTTACATGCTTCGATGTAACTACCTTTTATGCCGGGAAAAGCTTTGAAATATACAACAGCGAACATAAAAAAAGATACAGGGCGTCAAAGAAATGTATTATATAAGAAAAGGTTGTAGCTTCCTTCCGACACGAAGATGTTAAACTAGACGCCACAATACATTTCTTTAAAAAACATCTGGCGCACTCGCCGTCTGCTTAAGACATTGTGAAATTCCGATGTACGGCACGCAAGATTATCCGGAATCGAAGACGAAGTTGACGTTGGTTTAACCCTTCGTGATTTTATAACGCAGAGAAGGCAGTAGGAAAGCAAGACAGAGTATATAATTGCCATTTCTGTTCGCTTTATTTTTTTATTTCTTGTGTAGGTTATGAGGTTTTAAAGACAAGTGATAATAAAACCTGCCGCTTCCAGGAAATACGACGTGTGTCACTAGGCACATGCATGCATCGGAACAGCCCTACGATTCCCCTTGCCGCGAGGTCTGCTGGGATTCTCTGGAGAGGTCTACTGAGTATTCTCTTCACACCACACTTTCAAAAGAAGTCACACTTACAGGCTGCTAAGCCCGGCAATCTTGACGGGGTGGAATACACGTTGCGAAATCAGAGGAAAAACTCGCCGCCAACTCGGGATTGGCAGCCACCGGCTCAGTTATGGCCGCCTGTGATTACCCCTTATTTATTTATTTATTTATTTATTGAACACACCGTCAGGGCCCGAAGTCATTATAGAGGGGGAGAGCAGGTACCAAAAGATGAAAGGAAAAAATGAAAGACGTTTACAACACTCTGTAACACGGCATTAGAGCGCGGCTCTTGAGGAGGAGGAAAGAAGGGTACTGAGGGGAGGGTATACCCTTCCTCCCTCCTCATCCTCCCTGCTAGTCCTCCCCTCCTCCCTATTTCACTTACTCCTCCATCCTACTCCTCCCCTATCCCCCCCCCCCCCTTCCCGCGCGGTGCATTACGCGAAACGTCCCATAATGCAACGGGCGCGTGACCGCGGTGCGTTATGGGACGTTTCCCATCATGCACCATGAGGTTACGCCGACGGCGACGCCGACGCGTCACGCCGACGCGCTCACAGATGGCGACAAACTTTCCAGTTATCATAGAAGAATGGATAGCTGGGCGAGTTGGCGCGAAAAAAAGACGAGGACGAAGAAGAAACGCACGTGACGAGTGCAGTGCACGTCACGTGCGCGTATTTATGCAGCGTTCAGTCTGAATCAGTATACATGACGATCTTCGCAATTACGTGTGCACGAGAGCGCGTGAGGTGGCGGGGGGGGGGGGGGGGGGGGCACTGGGTGGGTCCTTGCGCTCGCGCCGTTATGACTTTCGCTGTGGTGCCTGTTTGGTGTAAAATGGATTATTAGCGGCGAGATGTTTGGGTGTTGCCCTCCCATGGTTACCTCTCGTGACGTCATTACCTTCTGAACAACAAGTTTGGTGGTGTTTGTAATTAGCATGGTGGAAGCTGGAAATCAATGCGCTTTAAACCAACACAAACAACACCGTCGAAAATCGAAGTTCTTACATTGCTCTTATTTCTGTCGATGAGAAATCCTTTGCCCAGGTCAGAGTCAGCATTCGGCCAATCGTGGAAGGCCGACCACTGCGACACTCTCGATCACTCAGGTCGCCAATAGGCTGTACGAGGCACTGATCGGCGACCTATGGGCGATCACATAATTGTTTCAATCTTATTTTCGTCTTTCACGGTTTAGAGGTTTTTTCAATCTCTTAAACATATAATCGTATATAGTTGAAATTCATTGCATTTGTTTAATTTTTACTATTTTTTGTTTTGATCAACTCTGTTTTAGTCCTATTAGTCTAACAATTTTTGTAGATGAACTTCATGATGTAATTAATATAGTTTCATCTCAATACCCCACGCTTCCTTTATCTCTGCTTGGCGATTTTAACATTCCGAACACGTATATCATGGAACACTGAACCGCCCAGTATACGGCCCCGTCTCCTCTTTAGCCAATAAATTCTTGAACTTGTGCTCTGTATTTTCCTGTACACAACTTATTAAGCAACCTACAAGGACAACACAATCTGTCGCGAACACCCTTGATCTTGTTTTGACATCCGAGACTAGTTACTGGCCTGGCTTAAGCGATCACTGTTTGCTTACTTTCCAGATTTGCTTGTCGCGACCAAAGAACCTTAAAAAAATATTTGTACTATACAAAAGCAAATTTCGAAGCAATTAATTATGAACTGTCCATTTTTCTTGATAACGTTTGAATGGTTTTGATAATCGCACTGTACGAAGAAATTGGGCCATTTTTTGAGGCTAAAGTGAATGATTTAACGAATAAATACATTCCCATTTTCACCATCATATCTAATAGTGATGTTCCGTGGTATAGCCGTAACCTAAAACGTTTATCAAACAAAAAGAAGCGCTTATATAGATAAGCTAAACTATCTGGTAACGGTGCCCACTGGACTCCTTACAAGCATGCCTCCGACGAATATGTAGCTGCACTAAAAATGCTAGGGAAGAATTTCTTCCAAAGCACTTTGCGATCAATGTTAATAAACGGCATCAGAAAAATTTGGTGTGTTAAACAACCAACAGATGAGGATACGATCAATTTAGTTGACAGCACTGGAAACGTAGTTCCTTCTAGCCAGTGTGCAGTGGTGCTGAATGAAATGTTTTCATGCAACTTTTCTGTAACTTCAAAAGGCACAGACACCCCAAAGGTCGTATTTTTTTTTATTGTCTAAAACGATGCAAGTTGCAGTCATAGACACGCAAAAAAAAAACCCGCATCGCGAAAAGAAATTTTCCCGCGCGCGCGCGCGCGCCTTTTTATTTTTGGCGTTTGATTTTCCCGCCTCTCGCCTCCTCGCTTCTTTTGATCGGTGACGTCAAAAATCAAGAAATTTAGAAGCTTTGTAGGCGACATCTCTATAACATTTAATAACGGCAATCCTAAAACATGTTTTTTAACGCAATTGCGAACGCACTACGGCCCTTCTTTTTGAAATACCAAAAATCGGGAGTTCGTTGTGGTGCCATCTCCTGGATTTGTATCCCCCCACGGAAAACAGGCGACACCGCTCAAAACCGGTCCGCCGCAACGCCAGCGCTCGCTCCTTTCCTCCTTTCTTTGGGTCGCCATGGCAACAGCAGGGAGTCGTGAAAAAAAGTGGACTCTCAGGAGTCCGCAATATTTGACGTCAACGCACCGGCGCGGATCGCGCGGGAACTTTGAATTCGGCATTTGGAAATTGATTTTTACTTCACAAATACTGAATTCCCAAATTTCAGACTTTGAGGGTAATGTCCCGGCATCGTTTTCAATCGCTTCCGATAATAAAAAAAATATGATTTTGATGTGTCAGTGCCCCTTTCAGGTGTCCCGATACCCGATACTCATGGCTTTGACTGCCTTGTCATGTCTCCCATACTCATTGAACCTACTGGTGTAGAGAGCCTCATTAGGTCACTTAAACCTTCTTCGTCTCCTTGATGCGATTCAATTAATCCCATGTTTTTGAAAAGTGCAAGTGTCTATTCTTCTATTATATGTTCTAAGATTTTTCAGCAGTCGCTTGACAACGGTTATCTTCTTGGTGAATGGAAGGTCGGACGGTGATTCCATTCCATAAATCAGGTAGCAAGTCTTCTCCTTCCAATTACCGACCCATTTTACTAACCAGCATTCCTTGTAAACTTCTTGAACACATTCTGTTTTCGCATCTCGTTACATTTCTTGAATCAAACTGCTTTTGCACACCTTCACAGCATGGCTTCCGCAAAACTTACTCCTCTGAAACTCAGTTGGTATCCTTTAGGCATAAACTAAACCTAATTCTTGAGCATTCCTCATTTGCCGATTGCATTTTTTTAGATTTCTCTAAAGCATTTGACAAGGTATGCCGCAAACATTTACTATATAAACTACACCAACTTAACCTTGATCACGAACATCTCGCATGAATCGAATGTTTTCTTCTGAACCGTTCACAGTTTGTTTCAGTTAACAACTCTAACTCGCAGCCAACTGGTGTTCCCTCCGGTGTGCCACAGGATTCTGTTCTTGGTCCTTTTTCCTTATCTACATAAACGATCTACCTTCTTGCGTTTCTTCTAAGATTCTCTTCTTTGCCGATGACTGCGTGGTTTTTCGTGAAATAGCTTGCGAAGATGATATAACTAACCTTTAGTCGGACATTAATGCCATCTCTGAATGGTGCAAACCGTGATATATGGATCTAAACGTTAATGAATGCAAATATATGCGGGTATCTAGAAAAGCAAATAGTAAAACATAAAATAGCGCAACAGAAAGACAAGGACAAGAAGTATACAGGACAGGCGCTGTATACTTCTTGTCCTTCTCTTTCTGTTGCGCTATTTTATATGTTCTACTGAGATGAACCAAGTAGCCCAACAACGTACACTAGTAAAAGCGAATAGTTTTCCCACCTACTTTCTAAATCACCGTGCCCTTGATTCCGTCACTTCTTACTGTTGCGACCGAGGAGTTCCCGGGGCAGCCTCAGGCAGGGCCAGGCGAAGACACGGATCGCAAACTGACTCCAGGCAGGAACATCAGCAGGAGACGGGAGGGTCTCTCACGATTAACTCTGTTTAATTACATATATACAGAAGTTTCTACATCGTCGAAGAGCACAGAATGGGCAGCCGAACAGGTCCTTATATAATTAAATTGGTGTTCTGGAGCTGCCGTGCCATTTTTTGGTTCGTGCCGCATTCCAAAGTTGGCCTCGACGTCAGCCTCCTCCTCTCGGCCCCGATGCTCGGTCGTTGTTCTCCGAATTGAGGGCGACTAGGAGGGTCTCGCGTATGGTAGACACAACAGACTGTCCATCTGTTCAGGGTCGGATTCTGCCTGGCGTTCTCGTAGAATGCAGACGCCTCCGTGGAATGCAGACGCCGTAGACAGAACACACCGACGGCAACGTTCTCGGGGAAGGCATACGCAAGGCAGGCGCCGTAGAGAAAGCACACCGACAGGAACGTCGGTTCTGATGCCCTTGAGCCCAAGAGAAAC